ATGGTGTGCTTCTTCCATGTGGACCTTGTTGTTTCTAATGGTTGGAACTTTGAATGTACAAAGAATGAATCTGGGAAAGTTGGAAGTGGTAAAAAAAATTAGATGGAATGCATAAAGATCAAATATCCAAGGTATTTGTGAGTTGAAATCTACTGGCATTGGCCATTTTGAATCAGAAAATCATATGATGTACTATGCCAGGAGTGACACAATCAAGAGGAATGGTATTGTATTTATTGTCAAAAAGAACATTACAAAACCAGTCTTGAAGTACAATGTTGTCTGTGATATGATAATCCTATCAATACAATTATTATTCAAATTTATGCACCAACCACAAAAGCTAGTCATGAAGAAATTTATTAATTCTTCCGATGTCTTCAGTTTGAAATTGATCAAACATGCAATGAATATGCATCAATGATTATTGGTGATTGGAATGCCAAAGTTGGAAACAGGAAGGAACGGGAGTTGGAAAATACGAACTTGGTGATAGAAATGAAGCTGAAGATCACATGATATAATTTTGTAAAACCAATGTCTTGTTCATAGAAAATACCTTTTTCAACAACACCAAAAGCAACTATACACAAGGACTTCTCCAGATGGAATACAGAGAAATCAATTTGACTACATCTATGGGAAAAGACCATAGAGGAGCTCAATATCAGCCACTAAAATGAGGCTAGGTTCTGACTGTGTAACAGAGCATCAATTGCTCATAAGTAAGTTCAGGATAAAGCTGAAGAGAATTAAAACAAATCAGGAGAGCCAAAATATGACTTGAATCTATCCCACCTGCATTTTGAGAACATTTCAAAATCAGATTTGATGCATTTGGAACACTTAAGACAGAAGAACTGGTGAGCTGTGGGAGGACATCAAGAACACCATTCATGAAGGAAGCAAAAGGTTATTTAAAAGAAGGAAAAAAGAAAAGATCAAAATGGATGTCAGTAGAAACTCTGAAAGTTGTTCTTAATCATAGAGTAGCTAAGGCACATGGAAAAAATGAGTCAAAGAGCCAAATGAAAAATTTCAAAGTGCAGCTCGAGAAGACAAAGTAAAATACTATAATGAAATGTGCAAAGACATAGAGTTAGAAAATCAAAAAGGAAGGACACATTGAGCACATCTTAAACTGAAAGAAATCAAGACAAAATTCAATCCTTGAGCTGCAATGATAAAAGATTCTATAGACAAAATATTGAATGATGCAGAAAGCATCATAAGAAAATGGAAAGAGTACACAAAGTTGCTGTACCAAAAATGAGCTAGTCGACATTCCACCATTTCTGGAGGTAGCATATGAGCAAGAACCAATGATGCTGAAGAAAGAAGTTAAAGTTGCACAGAAAGCATTAGCCAAAAACTAGGTTCCAGGAATTGATAGAATACCAATCAAAATGTTTCAACAAGCTGATAATTCACTGAAAGCACTCACTCATCTCTGCCTGGAAATTTGGAAGACAACTACTTAACCAACTGACTGGAAGAGATCCATATTGGCACAAAAAATGACCCAAAAGAATGTTCA